CCGGCCTGGTGGAGCCTACTTTTCACTGCTATCTTCAGCCACGTGGGAATCCAGCGAGTGTGGGCATCGTTTGGCGCGAGGGACGCGATTGCGGGGAAGCTATCAGATGATTTGGTGGTGGGCTTTTGACACGGTGGAAGGGTTGGAGTCGAAAAGGCACCAAACAGACAGTCGAGGCTTGGCTCAAATTGCCTGACGCGAGGAAATGAGAATCGGTCGGACTCCAACTACTGTGCATGTTGCCGGCGAGGAACAGGAACGGTGAGATGTTGGAACATCACGTGATGAAGACAATATCCCCAAGTTCACGGGGCCTACTACGGCGCTGGAACTTAAGAGTGAATTATACCTAGAGTAAAGGTTTTTGTGCAGAAACAAAACTTTTCTTTGACGGCAGAGGCATACAATTTTGGCTCACATCAGAAGATAAAGATGGTTTCATCTATACAGTCCAGGAGATGCCTAGGTGCAAGTCTGTGGCGACTGGCCTTGGATCACTAACAAAGAGTCAGGTTTGATGCCATTACATTTCACACACAGCCTTTGTTTCGTCTAATGAGAGTGTTCAAGAGGAAACCGAATCTAGTTGTTCATAAAGTGAGCATTGATCTGAAATCTGATGTAAAACGGCCATTATAGTTGCCACAAGCGAAAAGCCTGCGATTGTGCACAAGTGCAAGCCGGATAAAGCTATCCACATGGGAGGTTTCTGGACTGCGGCCTCAGTCTGCAAAAGATGTCATCTCATTGAATCCACAATTTGTTTGGGGTATCACAATAGACACCCTTCTCTATCCGCTCAAGGGTCCGTTGATTACTTTTTCGATCTCCAACCAGTCGATGTAGTCAACTCCGGTCAGTGGCAAGGTCGGATTATGAAAACTGGAATAGATACCTTCTGCTTCCCCGGTAAGATCAAAATTCCAGTCTCCCTGCATATCAAACATGATATCTGGAGCATCCATGTTAGACCAAGGCTCAAGCAGCCTGCTCTCATCTTGATGAACACTTCGACTACTTGAAGTCACAGCCATATATGGTGGATAATCCACGGAAGTCAACAACGCATCTTGTCTCGAGCATGGGCTTGCAGCAAATGTCTGGGTCTTGTCTCGGGAGGCTGCATCAGTGTGCGAAACATTTGCATGGAAAACATGATCTGGCCAAACGTGCGAATAAGATTGTGCAATATCCTGCAGGCGTCGCTCGGCCGCCAGATTGCCAGATCTTGCTAGAAATCGAAGCACTCGAGATGCTTGATCCAGCGCTAATGGTGGTTTGCTTTGTGCTTTGTCCAAGAACCCTACAATGACCAGCACAAATGCAGCGGAGAATGTTGCATCCAGATCAAAAAAGCCATACCGGGCTTAGAATAATGTGTTAGCTCTTGGGTCTGATACACATGCGATACATATTGTGTGGGGGCAGGGGTCCGTTGGCTGAAGCATTGGGAAGACTCACGGATGGTTTGCTGGTGACGAAGTGATTCAAGGATTGCGAGACTTCTAGTGGCTGCCTCTTCGCATGTATCACAGAGACGCAGCAGCATACTTGGCGCTGGATCAGGTGACTGTGGTTGTTGTTGGCTCTGAACTCGAAATCGAGCTCGTTGAAGTAATATTGGCCGCGTACATAGGATAATAGCCTGCTACTCAATCAGGAAACATAATTGACGTTGTGTTCCGCTTGGGGACTGTCTCACCTGGAAAAGCATTAGGTACAATGATGCACCTGTGCGAGGTACCAACTGCAAAGGTCGATTGAAGTCCAACATTAAAGATTTAGGAAATGATCGACCAGTGTCATGCAGTTCTTGGAGAATTTGCTGGATCTTTTGGACCAGTTCCAGTTGGGTGATTGACTTAATGCCATACAGGGCTGATTTTGGTGTATTAGCACGAAGTTTAAAGTCCAGCAACGCATGGCTTACATGACATTATATCATCAGTGACACGGGCGATACGAACATTGATGGCAAGGGCAATTGGTGACTGAAATCCCATCGCGTTCCGCGGGATTTCAGTGCGTAGCTGCCGCTCATCTGCCCCTGCTGCTAGCCCCAGACCCGATGAAAGGCGCCTAAAGGTGTAAGTTGGGTTCCAAACACCCAAGGTTGCCAAGAAAGCCTACCTGTCGAGCATGTATACTGTCCACCATAGTCTTAATCTGTGAGCACTCTGGGAGGGGAGGCAATGTTGGTCGACTTCCCGTAAATTGCACCCAAGAGCAATAGCAAGCCGCAGTGCGAGTCCGATCTACCACATGTCAATGATACCGTTTAAAGGCTTTGTGGGTCCTGCATGACATACATAAAGATATGCATCATGTTTGCGGTCACACCACTGCAGATATGTAGTAATCAATGTCAGTATCTCGACAGCGATAACACCTTCCCCGCCCATATGATGCAGCGGAGGAAGACGCTTCAAGGCTTCAGCAAACAAGTCCGTCCCGGGAGTCTGTGATGTTGGATGTTGAACATCCATGAGCTTTGCCATGGCCATGACCAAAAGATATTCTGCAAACCATGGAGAGTTCATCTGCTGCTGCCTTGTCTCTGGGCTCTGAAACAGCAACATAAGATCGTCCGAGAATGATCGTGGATCAAAAAAGTGCTGGCTCACGCCAAGATAAAAAAGGAATTGGTCAAGCAAGTGCTGTGATTCCTCCAAAGACGGGAAAGATACGTCGGCAACATTATCAACGAGCTCTTTGACCGATGTCGTCCACTGAGGTAATCGATCAGCCCGATATTGAAAATTTGAAGTAGGTCCATGAAAGCTGCGGTCACTGGAAGGCGAACAGTCAAGAAGCGATCTGACTTGAGACTCGAATGCAGGGCCGGAGGTCAGATCCGTTGCTTCAATAAGGGTCAGTATCTATTGCAAGCAGGTTAAAAAGAATCAAATTCGTCAAGTTACCCGGACTTGTCGAAGAATCGTTCTTGGGATATAAGAACTCATCTTGCCCCTGATTGGGGGGCTCATAATTCCTAGGCATTGAAGGACTTCGTTGCGCAGATTGACACCTCGGTGTCTCATCTGGTGCTTCTGAAGAAGGCAATGAAGAAACTTGACCTCCTGCAGTCTGAGAACTGAGTTGCTCTTCATAGGCTCGGACTTTTTCCAATAGATGGTTCACTTGGCTGACTGGCAGTCAGCAAGACTGCCCAGAGCTTACGAGGCGCATGAACCTACGCTTCAGAAAACCGTCTGCGACCGGAGTGGCCAAAGGTGCATTCCCAATTATGTTTCATACAAGCGCGACAAGGCTTATCACCGGAGCATTTTACTTTGCGTCTTCGACATGTTTCGCATCTGTCCTGTTAATATACCCCCACCGCCGCGGGAGATGTAGACGACGCATTGCAGACTTACGCGTTGGTAGATCGTAAATTGGAGCCTGCCATCGTTCAGAAACGGCCGCTTACCGCTGACTTTGATGTTGATCAAATTTCAGTCACCAGTGTGAAACCGTCGAACTGTATGGATCGGGTGTTCCACCCGAGGCTGCGGGGACACCGGCCTGGACCTCCGAGGGCCCCGCAATCGAAGAGAATCCAACATTTTCAAAATTGGGCAATGGATTCAGCATGAGGATGAGCTGAGTTCTGGGCTCAAATTCCTGACTTCTCCAGTGAAAAACTAAAGGACTGCCTCCGCCGCTACCTTGGAATCGTCATCTTCTTTGCCAAGCGCCACGGAGCGCCTGATGTTTCTAGATGCGAGGCAAACAAATCCACGGACCAGGAAAACTGCTCGGCAAATTAAATGACAGAGCCCAGTGGTGGGGAACATATCGAATTCAAAATGTCCTTGTAATGTGAGACCGTGGCCGGGTTTGTAGAGGTCCTGGATTGGACATTTAAGGCTGCTTCCGATATGGAACCACGGTTCGGGCAACATCGTCCCCTTTCCCGAGGAAACTAGTGTATCATCTGGTGAAGATATCATGATGTCACCGTGGATGACCTGGATATGGAATGGCCGATCCAGAGTAAACCAAGCTGGAGGTGGAAAGTTGGAAACAAAAGCCGGGTTCAAGATGATAGGATGCATGTCAATTCCGTGGCCATTGGATAAAGCTTCAACAGATCTCTTACATGAAGATCCGTAGGACGTGTAACTTTTGTCACTTTCGAGAAGGGCCTGACCTATAAGTTGATGTCCAAAGCAAGATCCGAAAATTTTGACCATAGGATAATCGGCAGACACTCTCTTAATACAAAGATCTCAAATACAAAGATCTCAAGGCTGTAATCCAGCGTATCTTGTCATAGACTGCAGCAGCTGCAGCAGCTCCAGTGACCAAAATCGCGTCGACAAGACCGGGGAAGCCAGGGGGTCCATTTTCGGCCGGCGACCAAGGGCTGACTCGTAAGGACTCGAGATATGGGAATGACCCACTGACAACGTCGAATGAATGTAGATCCGCCGTGATCTATGGACGTAAAGCGAACTTCGTATAAAAAGCCTTTTGGGTTAATGCCGTGCCAATGCATGATTTTCAGATCGTATGTGAAAATTCATCTATACAGCAGCTTGAACCGGTGACAGTTAGTCCATTCCAGTGGGTGAGGACTTCAAATGCGGAGAAATACGTGCCGTAGCCATTTGTCTTGTTGAAAAGACCGACTGGGATAGAAAAGCTCTGATTAACCATATATTCCATCATTTCCTTTCTTCGTAGTAAGAGGATATACATTCTGTGGCAGATGTGTATCTTGCCTTTCTCATACATCTTGCTTATGCTCTAAATTAAGTCTGTGTCTGGAGAGATGCGGTTTTACACTAGACTCGGAATACACGTAGACGAATCTACTTGCTTCGAGATCTGCTGATATCAAGGGAGTGCACCATTGGCGTTTGGACACGGGCAAGCGAAGCCCATGACTTTGCTCTTCTGTCATTTGTAGTCCTTCTATCTCTACTTCCTCGTCTTGCCTCTACTCACCAAATTTTGAAAGGAAGATTGAGCCTGCTTTGAGTGCAATCGAGGATCTACTGCCAGTGGGGGACGATGTCATTAACTCGGCATTTGGTCTTCGACTGTCTACTACAAAATCTGCACGATGATGGTACATCTTTTCGTCTTTCAATTTCCCCAAGGGTTTTAGAGTCTAGCCATAAGCCGCCCACCATCTTCTCGACACTCAGCATTAGAAACGGATGACTTTGGCAATTTTTTGCGCCCGAATTGATAAACTGGGGAAGATTCTGAGCATCCAGCGCGGTATAGATGTCCACTCCATATGCCGGGTGGATATCCCGACGATGAGCAAGTCTGAGATAATGATGCTGTTTGTCGGGGGAATAGGGTGTGGTACAAGGGCTCTCTGGAAGCGGAGAGAAGATTAAGCGGGACAGGCATTCAAGAATGGACAACAGAATAACTGCAGACAGCGAATCTTTCATGGCAAGAAGCTGTAGATTAAGCTTATCCTGTTCCTCATGGCGAATTGGACCACTCTTTAGATGTTCCTTGTCGGTTCTTTTTGGTTCCTTATTAGGAAACGTAGGGTCCCGTTGACACAGCATTTACGTACGGAGACATGGAGATCAAAAGCTTATGTATGGTAAAATTTCGAAAGCGCTAGCTAGATACCTGACAGAGAGAGATGTCCAGCAAGGGAGGGGTAACGAAACGAGGAACAATGTTTGAAATGGCACACTACAAACCCAACATTAAATACAGCCAAGGCATTCATTCCTATTAACCGAACGAGAGTCTTCGCGACAACCAATCAATTACCGATAAAAGGAAGCTGGATTCGAGCCAGCCCCACCCTGCGGAGGCTGGTACGCCTGGTACTCACTCGTGCTTGCGGCTGGAGGTGCCGGGTTGTAGGGGGTATATTGTGGCTGCTGTGTTGCCCCGGGTGCCGGTGGAGGCTGGTGCGATGGAGGAGGTTTATGGGCACCGGGAGAGTCAGGATACGGGGATTGTTGCTGTTGTTGCTGGAACTGGTGCGGGATCTGAACTGTTTCTTCGGCGGAGTAGGCCGAGGACGAGTAGTCTTGCTGCTGCTGTTGGAATTGCTGGTGAGCGGCAGGCGGGGCTTGAGAGGTTGGGGGATACGGCATGCGCTGGCCAGGAGCAGGGTGATCGACAGGTGAATCATAGACAGAAGTGCCTAGTTCTTGGGGGTGATCGTAAGTAGATTGCGGACGGTGGCTGACAGGCTGATAAGGGTCGGCGTGAGGTGGCTGCTGTGACGGGCCTGCCTGGACCTGGTGGCGAGGACCAGGGGAGTGAGAGGCTGGGCGGTATGGCCCAGCCTGCTCGCTGGTGGGGTATGGTGCATATGCATTCGCCTGGGTTGGCATGGTATCTGGCCAAGTTAGAATCGAGAGGCGATGGGTGATTCCTAGAGTCTACTAACCTTGAGGCCGGGGAGTGTAATATCGAGGATCTGCCTGAGGAGCAGAGGGGTACCCGGCAGGCGCAGCACTAGAATAACCGTACTGCGGCTGGGCATGTCGTCCGTATTGAGGCTGTGCCGGATGGGCTAGCGATGCCTCAAGGAGGGACTCATAGTCGCGACGAGCTTTGATGAACTTTTCATTGAGCTGGGTAAATTCATCTAGACATGTGTGAGTGAGACATTCATGGCAAAACAAACGGCTAGCCGCTTACCTTTCTTTTGCGAATATTTCCCAATCAATTCGATGAGTTTTGGACGAATCGCAAGTGTAGCTTGATAGAGCGATGTGATCTCTTCGTTTTCTTGAACGTTGAGATCTGTGTTGCGGGTGCTCAGTAGAGTCAGAAGCTTCTCAACACTCTTGATCTGGCCAAAGACGTCCGCTTCCATCTGAGCCTCCCGCTGCAGCTCATCGACAGTGGGGTCTGGAAGTTTCTCCACATAGTTGAGAGGGAAAATGCCGGTCTGGCCTCTCAGGGAACCCTTCCACCAATCCTTATAGACAGACTCTAGGACTGCAATGGTGTCGCCTTTGCGGAATTGAAGCTCTCCTGGCTCAGACGGTTGGAAGTCGAACAACGCTCTCACACGCGATACGGTAGCTACTGATGTACCCGAAAGAACAGGTTGAGTCTCGGCGGGCTCCCTTTGATTTGAGGGAGCTGATACCGATGTAACAGCAGTAGACAAAGCCTCGGCTCGAGGTGCTGCCGCGACAGCAGCCGCTGGGGTTGCTTTATCCTTAATCGAGAGGGCTAGGGCCATTTGCAATTCCTCTTCCTCCATCTGACGATCAACATCGGTGATCTCACGCTTTCCAGGTTTCGACGGTGGTTGCAGATTCGGGTCTGGAAGATAATCAGTCGAGCCCGACGTTCAAGACGTGGAAAGACTTACTCGTGGTCTTTAATTTCATGTACGCCTGTTCCATGATGCCAAAATCCGGGTTGGATGCGAACATCTCAGTCCATTCTTCCATGCGCTCCAGAATCTTAGACTTGACTTGTTGATGCGTATTCTAGACAAATCCATATTAATTGTTGCCATTTGAGGAAACGAGAAATGGAACATGCTTACACGATCGTTCGCCAAGCGTAGTAGCGCATCAGTAAAACTTCTCGAAGCCAACTCGCGATGGATCTTCAACCCGCAGTTTTGCGACAACGAATTTCCAAGCTAGAAACCAGTTAGCTGTAATCAAGGGAAATTTTTGCGCTTCAGGGAGCACATGGAACGGGCTGCGGCCACAAACCTCCAATGTATAGAGCTGGACGTTGGCATTTCGGTGAGCCAGTCTTTTAATCATCGCAGCCACGGCCTCTTTCGCACTATATCACGGCAAGAATCAGCAACGGGTCTTTGGGCGAATTAGATGAGTCTAATATTCCGAGATAGCCACGTACCCTGATTCCTCTGAACCTACTTTGTCACAGACATCCTAAACCACAAAAACCTAATCAGCGATGTCCCAAGGCCGTAGTGATTCCGGCAATTCAATATAGCTTCATGCACAACGCACCAGAATGTATTCCCAGTTCTCGGAGGTCAGATTCTCGTCCGTCGCCTTAGCTATACAGGAATGAGAAAAATTGTCAGTAAACACATCGCACAAGCAGATTCAAAGTGGCCCCGGAGCTTGCCTTCAGGCTAGCCAGCTCCAGGGGTGCATAGTGTATCCGACGCAGCAGAGACTGGTGTAACTTACCGACAGCGTCGTCAAATTGGTTCTGCTGCGCGCGAAACATCGCGAATGTATGTCCTCTAACCGCCGCAGGTAATCACCGGATGGTATGTGGATTATCGGCAAGTCAGGCAGCACTGCTCAGCTTCTGACAAACGGCTGGTCTTGTTTTCGTGTAGCGAAAATCCAGCGACAGATTCCAATTAGACTTGCGTATCCAAGACCAGGCAATCTTTCAAGTAGTGGTTGTGTAGCCCGTAGCAGTGATCCTCCAGCACCGAATGCGGGGAGTTGACGACAGCAAAGGATGCGGCTTGGATGCGGCCTGGCTGCGGGTCGATGCAGGCGATATGAATATTACAGTGACAGGGCTTTGGCGAGCGTTAGTATGGCAGTTATTGCAGCGTTGGGTATCTGTTAATCAGGTCCTTGGGGTTGGTCAGGGACAGTGTTGGGGGTGCCTATTGTGTACGGGCGGAACTCGTCACCTGAGTCAGCATATGACGACGTTGGAACACCCCCGTATTCGCACAGGGTACATACTTCATAGACAAGTTGTTGTTCGCTTGAATTGTCGAATTTGAACTAATTTTTCTACATTATGTATGCCTGAGGATTGAGCCTCTCTTTTTTCATTCGTTTCTGCCGTTTTCAGTTTCTTTTTGGCTTGAGCTAGTTGGACCTCGCCCTACAAATTCCGTAGGCTGCTGCTCCGTTTCTTCTTCCCACGTTCTATCGGCTGTGGCTGAACATGTCTCCACTATGTTAGGCACATGTGCTTCCTAACGTTCTGTGAAATAGATGTTTCGGGGTTCGAAGGTCCGTAGCTGCTTGCACTCATCAAGAACTAACGATAATAGAGAGGCAAATAGCACTACAAGAAATTACCAAGACGCCGACATCAATACAGAGAAAGTGAGCGACAAAGCAGATATCACAGGCAACAAACATGCTCATGAAATGGAGTCATTTTCATCGAAAAATCGATGTAAAAAGGTAAATAAAGAACTTGACTGGGTACATAAACGGATTCCAACAACGTACTGTAGTGCACGTTGGGATCTAGAAGAAACATCGGGAGTGACGGGGTATCTGAGCAAGACGTCAAGAGATATCAAGTACGACGAAATTAAACCGAAACTTGGGAAAATTAGAAAAAAAAAGCAGTCATTCATCAACATCCTCTTCAAGCACCTCCTTTTTGAGCTTTTTCTTGGGCGCGACTAAGACGAGCAGCCTTGACCAAGGGGGCAAGATGCGATAGTGGTGCGCACAGAGACATGAACGGGTGCTGAAGGGAAAGACATCAGTTTTCGCTTCGAAAGCCATAGGAAATGGGAACTAGTAAATACCTTCAGTAGGTCATGAGCTGACGCCCGCTTCTCCGGGTCAACCTTCAGGGCAAAGTGAAGGAATTCGCGGAAAACCGGTGATAGGTTGTGCTCATCTTTGATGGTGGGTGTTCCGTTCGTAGCAATCAGGTAGAGTGCTCGCAACGGAGACTCTGTCAGGTACGGCGGCTCGCCCTCGATCATCTCGATAGCCATGATGCCTAAACTCCAGATGTCGACCTTGCGGCCATACTCTTTGCGAGTAACAACTTCGGGGGCCATCCAGTACGGGGTACCAACCATGGTGTTCCGCTTGTTCTGCGAGTCGTTGATTTGAGCGCAGAAACCGAAATCGGCTGGAGATTGTTAGCATGATTTTGATACAACACAGAGTAAAACTGACTCAGCTTGATGTTACCATCCAATGCCAGCAGGATGTTGTCGGATTTGATATCTCGATGAATGACACCCTTGGAATGCAAATGCTGGAGACCACCCAGAGTCTAGTCCTAACAGTTAGCATCTCATGGTCTTCTTTCAACGAAATTAACCATTATGTACTCACCTCTCGGCAAACAGCTGCAATCTGTCCCTCGCTCATAATGTTGAAGGTAACCACGTCTGTAAGACTGCCACCTTCCATGTATTCCATCACAACCCAAAGATCCAGGCCATGTAAGAAGCTATCTAAGAAGTTCACGATGTTCTTGTGCTTGCTATCTTTCATGACCAAGATCTCGTTGATAATCAAGTCCTTCTTAGGTTGCAGGTCTAGATTCATCTGTTTGATGGCAACACAGTTGTTGTGAGGATGCTCATACGCTGTGTATACACCACCCGAGGCACCTTGGCCAATTTTGTTGAAGTTGTAGTAAATTTGTGTGGGGTCACCAGGATGACAGATTGACATCAAGCGCGCCCGAATGTCCAAGGCGCTGCTCTGTCGCTGCTGGCGCTGTCTAGGTCTAGCAGCAGGTGGAGCGCGCGTGGCAGGTGATAACCCAGATGAAAGATCTGGCGCTGGAGAAGTGGTTGATGTGGAGATGGCGGGAGTCTGCTGTGCTTGCTGGCGTTGGGTACGATTCCGTTCCAAGGTCTGCTGGGCTGCGGCCATGACCTGCTCCTGTTGCCGCTGGTATTGTGTTGGGGATGCGATGACAGTGGTAACATTGGGGCCGCTGGAGACGCCGGGGGCAGGGGTGGCATTTCGGGAGCTGGAGCGACTGCGGTGTCGCGATGCGGGCACTGGCTCAGATTCCGAGATAGTCGGAGTGCCAAAAGTAGAAGCAAAATTATCCTGGGGAGCTCGCTGCGGGACTCCGTATGATTTCGAGACCAGAGGTTGGAGAGGAGGGCGGGAGGAGGTCATCCCGGTGGGCGGTTTCGGGGGAGCACGATGGGGCATCATACCGCCGAGTGGAGGAGACATGACCGACGGCGGGCCTGCCGGAGGCCCGCGAGGGATTGGCGGGGGGGATCGTGGGTTTTCGAAGCTACTTTCGTGATTTTGTGGGAATCGTGGACTTCCCGGTGGCGATGTTTGATCCCTTGGGCTGGTGGCTTGCGCGGCTTGAGCAGCTTGCGCATTGTCGAACTTGTGCCATACTTCATCATCGCTGTCGCCACGGGTATTTTTTTCGTAAAATCGCATGATATCCATCATAGTCTGCGGGTGCTCCTCCTGTTCCTTCTTCGAGATGCCGTTCTCCTGTAGTAGTCGCTGCCATTCTTTGGGAAGACCGGTGAATTGGCCAGTCTGATTGTCGTAGCCGACGTGGGTCACATGGACCGGGTTCTCTGGAGCCGAGATTTTCATATTGCGACCGGGCGTGCCAAGCATACTGTCCACGAATCTGGAAAAACTGGCCTTTTTGCTTTGTCTCGTTCGGGGAGCGGCCGGAGGATTGCCATCGTCGGAGTTACGTTTGGCGGCATTTGGCGGCCTTTCAGTCTCGCGATGAGCGAAGGAATCCATTCGGTGTGTTAGAGTGGTGAAGCTAGCTGACTGGCGAAGTGAATGGCGTCCGCGGGTATCGGGGCTGGCGTGGGCAGAGCGAAGTCCGGGCGTTTGCTGGGGGTGAGGATCAGTCTCGGCGCTATTCTCATCCAATGCACTAAGCATGCCCCGCGTTTCGTAAGGGGCATTCAATTCATCCGAGCTCGGCTCGTTGTAGGAAAACCGGTTGGAACTGCGGGTGCGAGACCGGGAGGTCAAATTGGAGAAGAAGCCACTTGATTCGTCGTTGGAAGGCGATAGACCGCCACTATTCTGGTCCAGCGATGACGAGGAAGAACCTGGGAATTGGGCGTTTGATCGTGTTCGATAATGCTCGCGACTGCCGCTGGGAGAGGAACGTGGATAGACGGGGGCGGAGGGGGTGCGTTTCAACGATGTGGTGCTCTGATGAGTCCGAAGAATGCGCGAACTGAAGCTAGGGGCTTCTTTGTGAAGTTTGCTAGATGCTCGACGAAATTTCAATGGGAAATTGTCCTGATTCATGGTGGGCAGATTTCTGTCTTTACACGAGACAGATTGAAATTGGGCCGAGGAGGGGTCAGATGCAGGAGGTTTTTTTTATTATTATTTTTTGTGACCAACCAAGTTCACGACCTGAGGGGAATTACGGCCGCGGAGAATGACCGGGTCCCCGAAGGTTCTTGACGATGGGTGGAATGGAAGATTGGAAGGAAATTTGGAAGAAGAGAGGAGGTTGATGTCTAGCACGTGGAGTGTTAGGAAAAGGAGTCGGGTGGCTGGGGCGGCTTGACAGGTTTATGGGGACTTGGAACGGGGTTTGGGATATATAAAGTAGGAACGAATAGCTTCACAATGTTTTAATGTTATACAGAAACAATTTTTTACTAGACTATACTATAGAATCGAGTCAGAGACACTCTACGCGAATAAGTCAAAGAAATCCATCATCATTTAGCCCAGATTATATCCTAAGAATAGAATTGGTCTCAGACTTCCCCGTTTGATATTCCTCTTATGTCAACGGATTCCATGCCAGATCCACTTTAAAATACTAAATTCTACTTCATCTCTGGTATATGTTGTAGTGCAAAGATGTTCTTCTCCGAATTACCACACCACAAGCAAATAGCCTACAAGTCCCTGTAACTCCGTTCAGGTCCCCTTTTTCCCCTGGCAGGTAGAGCCGAACACGTCCGAACAAGGTTAAATCGTACAGGGTTGGACGGGTCAAGTGTGACAAAAAGCAAGCCAACACTCAGCAGAGATTCTTGGGGGTTGGGCATTGGGCTGTTAATTTAGACCCTTGAGCCCTAACAAGAAACCCGCCTCGCATAGATCCCCTGCTGAAATTACGGCCATTCTAACCGATTTGTTGAGTCGTGGGCTTCGGGGTATGTTTCTTCCACATGTGCCACCGTTGGTCGCCTTCAAGATCTCCCCCGCCGTTTGCTACAACATACGTGAATCTTCCGGGCAGACACTATAAATTTGATAATAGTCTGTTCACCTTGTTTCTACTATGCCACTCCCATTTCCTCCTTCCATTCCAACTTGGATCGGTAGATGGCATATCTGTAATATGGCTTTGGCGTTTACACCCCACCCCAAATTAAGACTACTTATGAGAACGGATGAGACCTGGTCCGGGCTCCAAGGGCCTCTTTCGACTGGTCAACTACCATTCAAAGATTGAGTCTTGTCTGAACATCCTCTTCGCCTCACTGTTGGTCCAGTCAAGCAGGACCTAAGATATAGGGCCTGAGACACCGGGAAAAATGGGGTTGATAAATGTTAGTTAATCTGACTACCATGGAGCTTTTTACGCATTCATATCTCAGTTGAACAGGCAAGTCTTGATATCTGCCCTTCGTGATACGATCCGAGATTCGGAGTATTTGGAAAGAGACAAGAGGGAAAGGGCACATCGGTCGAAAATGGGGGTGGTTGCCTGAATTATCAGGCTTCTGAAGCAAGACGAGACCTTCACAGTCCACTACAGAAATGCGCCGGGCTGCAAACATTTCGTTTAGCAGGATAACCCTCAAGAATATCAGTGCGTGCCATTGTAGAGTCTAGAAGTAGTGTGGATGTACTGACATCACTCAAAGAAGCTTCTGTTGAAATTTGAAATGCTTGAACACATTCCTTTAAACAGCATTGGGCAAATTGGTTGGTTATGATAGCATCATAACACGGGCGGCTCGAATGTTCGTGACTCTGCCGTACAGCACTTAGCTGCTTCTCAGTACCCTCTACGACTGCCAGGTTTCATTGACACTGCAGACCACGACAGCTAGCGGTGCCATTGATCCCGTCACCAAGGATGCGCACATTATTGCTGGTGGCTTGAATCTGCCTAGTGGAATCACCTTCTCATCTGATCAGAAGGTTGTCTGTGTCACAGATAATACAGAGAACAGTGGCCAGGCAAAGGAGGGTATCTGGCCTGCTAGTTCGTACGTTGATGTGAACTCTGGAAACTCGCTCTACATGTTTAGTGCTGATCTTCGTCATCAACGAGAACAAAATTTGCTCCGCGCAGTTGAACCTGACCTAGGCAAGGTTCGAGATATGTGAATTTGCAAATCCCAATGACATACGGATATTGACATCTCAGGTGCGTGCTTCTTGATGCTATTACAGGATGAAGGTGCAAAGTGCAACCATATTCTTCGCCCATCTGGCTTGTCTGAACATCTCCTTTCGTCTCCTTGTCCACTCGCATCCCAGTAATCCTGCTTCTTCACTTAGTTGTGGCCAAATGTCTCTTCATTGTTCAATGAGCTGAGAGCATGAATACCTCGAAGGGTTTACTAGGGGAAGGCTTGGAGGTGACCAGGATGGTGAAGCCCCCACTAAAGCTACTTCGATAGATCAGAGCAGTCTCGCAAACGGTCACGAGTTCGAGCAAAATAGAACAGAACGAAAAGCTGTGGCAAGAAGGCTTCCCTCAGGTAAATAGTTATCCCACTACCAGCGACAAACATCACCTGGTCTCCATGGAAAGCTTGTTAATCCTTCGGCGAGGATATGTCACGGACTATGTCTAGGTGTAATGAGTTAGTTGAACGTTTGGCTTAAATCAAATTATCTGGGCACTTGATAGTGCACAAGTTTTCAAGATTGGTAGATATATCACAGGTATCCTATTTCTAAGAACCCACGCAGCTACCGTTTACTCCGAGCCGGGTTGGTTTCTTGTATCTAATCTGTGTATAGGGAAATTCAAAGATACTCTAAATCTTGTGAGGGTATATCGTAAGATGCATCTAGATTAACAAAGAGTGTCCTCGGATGTAGCTTGGAAATCAGTAGTGTACGGGGATTGCTTACATGGCAACCACTTCTGTTTACCTCCAATGCTCTTCTCCCACTCTTTTCTCCACCTTTCTTCATGCCAGCTCTCCTTCCATCAACACTGACACGGCCTAGCTAGGCAGCTCACATGCCTGGCTCGTTTCTTTTGTAAGTGATAGGGCTTCTCTCGTTGCCAGGTTTCCTCGTCTCCTTCTACTGTTGTCACCTATTCAATCCATTTTTTACGCAAAGGCACTCATTTTTAATTAGACTCTAACAATTTTATCATCGACACCTGTAGTGTGGAGTTGTCTCTTCCCAAATTTCTTGTCTGTCTTATCACGCTGCTCCTGCAAAACTGCAGTTCTCTTGTCCACTACACAAGTCAACTGTCTTCACTGGTCTGCTCGTGTCAACCCCAACTTCTCCTTTTCACTTTCCTTGACTCCCACGTTTCTCCAGGTGCCTTCCTTTCTCAAAACACAGCATTATGGCGGAGAGCATCATATCTCCTCAGGCTGTTACTGCACCCGAGGATGCCATAGTCAGCCACTTGTTGTCTCGAGTCTTGTCCGGTAGCAAAATATGCAAGGCAGCAGAACTTGCTGCATTCCTTCCTCGGTGGCTTAGCGAAATCAAAGAGAATAAACCAGTTTCTCCGGATATCCCAGAGCTACTAGCTCATCTTTTGCTCCCATTTGGTACATCTGCTATCCTGGAACACATTGAGAGGCTCCAAGTCCCCGACTCTTTGACCGATAGGCAGAAATGGATGGTGAAACTCCTTGTTCTCATGGACAATAAAGCACATGAAAGGCTGCTGCAGAAGTTGGGATCTATTCCAGATCAACAGATATCATTCGAAGATCTCTGTGAGCAGGAGAACGGTAAAGACACTGTTCATTCTGAGCCTCGGTGAACGATACTGACATGATGGAAAGCTCAAGAAGACAATACGGATGATGATCTCGTCATTGACCCCAAACGAACCCTACAATTTGACTATGACATGCGTGGTGTGATGACTCGGGGCGACAAAGACGCAATGAGAAAGCACACCGACGTCTTTTACGTGACCGGCTCCGTTGCCTGGACTGTCCGATCTCCTTACTGGAATGTCGCCTTGGCCACCGATGATGAAGGTAACCGAATTCTCTCAGATGATGTCTTGGACAAAGTTCTTCCCAAATGGAGACAAATTCTCACTGGGGAGACGATCCCGACCCCGAAGTACGGTGTTGTCGATTCATTTCGTTCATGGCTAGTCAGGGAGGAGAAAAAGGCCAGTGATCTAGGCAAACCTTGGCCCAACCCCCCTGTCCATGCTGTCTCTTCAGCCTCGAATTCTAAGTTCATAGGCCCCAAGACTCCAGAACCATATTCTCGGCTTCGCAGCGTGAATGCAATCCGTCTCTCTCCGCTTGAATCCACCCCAAATGTCACCGACAGTGAACAAACTGAATTGCTCCGAGAAATACTCACGGAGATCAGAGAATTGAAGAATATGATCAGCCAAAATTTTCAAAGGAAGCAAGAGCTCGAGATCGCAGAACGTCAAACGCATGAATATTGGCAACAGGGCTACCCTCCCATTCCTCAAGGAATGCAAGCCAACTATCTCGTGCCGCAACAGGGTCCATTCGACGTTGCTCAACATCATTCCCTCCAACTCGAGTCGGATTGGCAGCGCTGGAACTCACAGTACCAAGACCCGACTACCATGCCAGGCCCGGGAACTGATTCATCTCGTCGTCTCTAGGCTTTTCCATGGCCAAGGTCGGGGTGGCATTCATGTACGCTTTGGTGGGGTAATTGACCCCAAACCTGAAATACAGAGAGACTTTGGGGTGAGGGTGAAGAACAGATGATATGTGGGTGGGCAGCTGTGGCTGTGTTTTGTATTGAACTTTGAGGGATTGCAGCTGTTCCTCGCAGGGTCATCCTGGTGTCATGAATTACCGGAAGGACATGTCTGTTAGATTCTTCCAATGGAACTCAATTTCATACTACTTCTCGTCGTATGTTAACGGTTTTATACCGTGGTCTTTAAGCCACCAGCACGGTTTCTGGTTCACCTTGATAGCAATGCGCGCTAATGTACCAAACATCGATATTTATAAGACGTCGGTGAATTAGGTAGATCTCGTGAGTGCTTGCTATGGTCTAGGAGGGATAAAGAAAATTGGAAAAGAAAAAAGAGAAAACCCAAGCTGCATTTCCCCTGCATCCTTTGCATGTCTTCTTGGCTCTAGGATATAAATTGTTGGCAAAGCTCAACCTTGTCCTGGCATTGTGATGCTAATCAATTAGACCATTTCCCAAGAGGCTCTCAAACCCCGCCCCTTATCAACCCCAGTTTGGCTCCAGATCAACAACCCCGCCTCGCTTTGATGCCTCTCCACTATAGCGGGAACTCCAATCACTATAGACTGAGACTTTGCCCCGCTGAATGTTCTTGGCACGAGTATGATTACTTGAGAGAGACACTACTGAGATTAGGACTAAGGTATCTACATCAAGCTTTTAGGCCTTAAACTAGGGCCCAAAGAGGCTCAAGACTACGGTTTTCCGATGGGGCGATGTACGGTCCGGGTGATGTGTTATATTGGAGATTATTCTTGTGGTGCAGATTGAATGGACCATTTTCTTAGGCCACATCAAGTAAACCCGATCTTTGGCACTTGGGATAATTGACTATCAACATGGCGAAACGAGTCCTAACCGCTGCTTCGATGAGAGTTGACCATCTGCACAGACTCTGACGAACGCGCATGACACGCACTCTTTTCTTTGGCGTCTTCTAATCTCAAATACGGAGTAGTTGAGTTAGTGCCGGATCACAGCATAGAGCCCTCTCAGATGATTGGCTTAGTATCGTCCGCAATCGGTCCACATGGGTGCAGATCACCCACACGGCGTAAACAAGAGTTAAGCCACGCAAGTTAGTGGAACATGATGGATTTCACACTTTTTTGAAGACAACAAGAATTAGGGATGAATTTAAAATTGCAAGATCGACTTGGCCTCTCAAAGCCAATAGAATTCACTAGTGTCTGGGAAGATGCTCTCTCCCTTGCTGATGGGAATGTGGAACCAGCATACACTTGCAGCGAACAATGCATCTTCTGTCCTGTTCCTGACGCTGAGACTGCTGCCGAGACCTTTAGCTTCTAGGCTTCTAAGTTGTATGGTCACCGATGTAGCTCATGTAGGAAGATGTGCACAATATCGAATTGAAGCTAAAACCAATATGTGCTGACTGCGCCTTGCACAATGGGAGACATCCCAAAGATAAAAGAAAAGTCCATATAAGACGGACTACTCCGTAGTTGCATACACTATGCGCCATTGGAAGTCTTTCATTATGCAGAAAACAAATCTTTTTTTAAAAAAAAATCCAAGGGTCCATAGAAGCAGAACTCCTTAGAGCTCGGTAATGCGCACTCCCCTTTCGGGGCCGACTCTATCTAGACCAGACTCAATACTGAGATGCGCCTTACATTGCCCAAAGAGATTAACAGGGGTTAGTAGCTGATGATTGGATCAACTGCTCATATGCGAAATGGTCATACTTCGGGGGCCCAACTCGGGGAGCTGCGAATGGCGTAGACCGAATCAACATAAATTGGACGTGATTCCTTCCTTTGGAGGGCGTGGCTATTCACAGCCTGATTCCATTTCTGTCTGTACATCATGTTTGGTCTCATTCCGCTTCTCTTGACTGCACTCGCCAGCGCATATCCCAACCAGGGTCCTTGCACAGGCAATTGCTGGGCCCATGACCCTGCCATGATCCAGCGTGTGTCTGATGGCAAATACTACCGCTTTTCGACGGGTACTGGGGTTAGTATTCATAGCTCGCCATCAATAAAGGGCCCCTGGAAAGATCTTGGCTCGGCATTGCCAGATGGGTCCACGATTACCGTCGACGGCGTGGACAGCAAAAACATCTGGGTAAGAATGACCGGAAACCCCTCAGGAATCAACACAAAGCTCACCGCTAGCACGAATCACGTTATAGGCCCCTGATGTTCACTACCAGAACGATCAGTACTACATGTATTATGTCCTGTCGAAGATCGGTACCCAGAACTCACAGATCGGTGTAGCAACATCAAAGACCATGGATCCTGGTAGCTGGACAGACCACGGTTCCGTTGGCCTCCCTGCAAACGACAATTACAACCGCATCGATCCTGCCTGGATCACCATCGGTGGCAAGGACTTCATGAACTTTGGCTCCTTCTGGGGCGATATTTTCCAGGTTCAGATGGAGACTCCATTGAAAGTTGGCGGCGCATCTCCCTACCAAATCTCCTGGAATGCTACCCTCAACCACCGCGAGGAGGGCTCGTACGAGTTCAAGCACGGTGACTACTACTATCTTCTCTACTCCGCTGGCATTGCGGGCAGTTATACAAAGACATTCCCTGCTGAGGGTGCTGAGTACCACATTCGTGTTTGCCGATCTACGACCGGTCTTGGTGATTTTGTACGATTCCCAATCTTCTGGTTCATTCAAAAAGACACTCTCACTAACATTTCAATGTTGTAGGTTGATGCTGACGGAAAATCCTGTAAGGAGACCGGTGGCACGATGCTCCTCTCCAGCCACGACCAAATCTTTGGACCCGGTGGCCCTGGTGTGGTCAATGACAAAGACCTCGGAGTGATTATGTACTACCATTACTACCCACTTTCCACCAAGCAGAGCACCACAGAATCCAACAGCGCGAACTACAGATTCGCGTGGAACGCCCTCGGCTGGGAGAACGGTTGGCCTTTTGTGAAGGCCACTTAATGTACAAACTTCTCATGGCTGGCCCACGAGGCCCATGCTGATTCTTTTTCAGTCCTTTCTTTCTTCCTGTCAATAGTTGAGCTCTGTCTATACTGTTGGAGGTATTGCACTCGGTTATACGAGACCCGTGCCGTCTTGATTACTGTCAGGATGCGCTTCTTTTGGTGTGTGGTAATTCTTAGTTGTATAATTAGGCCCTGATTGTCTGATTTGGGTCAATCAATTCCCCGAGATTTGTTTTTTTACAATTCTTCTGCGTTGAAACCCATGTCCATTTGCCTGAGAATGCTATCTCCCCTGTCTTTGGCATTGAATTCCCACCACTTGCACGTCGCACCATGAACATCTCCTTGGTCACATACCCCAAACCTTCAAAATTGGGAGCGCCAACTACAAGATAGAAGCATGCCTGTATATCATTCTCGGGGCAGTTTTCCCCAGTCATCTTGACACGCGTACCGACATAGTTTGTCTCCACCACTCCTACAATCCAACCGGCGAAGCCACACCGGAAAGCAGCCAGGCCCGCATACATAGCCAACTTTCAAGAAGAATCGTTTCAGGTACCTAGATTAGAACTAGCGAGACGTCCCTTTCTGGAGATTGGTAAAAACAGGTATCTACAGACTCCAGGCAGTCGGTTCTGGCTCGTAAAGCCTAGGGCGAGGATTTCCGCAAATTCCCAGCAGGGGTGAATGGACTACCTATTAGAGCTTGGCCCAACGGGCTATTAATCGTTAGGGTTAGAGTGTGCCCATCTACAATGTAGATCACATTAATGGTCACTGATGGTGTTGGTGATTTTTGTCACTTTCATTGGTGACAATGGAGCCACCTATAGTTCCGGACAAAAACCACACAAGCAAAGAATTTCATAGCTGAGTTTTGGATGACCGCTATGCTTGGAAAGGGATGGATAGTGATCCTAAGCAAGAATTAAGATAGAGATCAAACAGAAAGGCACATTAGGAGTACACGTCGAAAGGCCACTCGAGACCTTGCCAGTCTTAACTCCAATCTATGTGACCTAAAAGATATTGCCACAGTGGATAGCCTGGGGATAGATGACATCTGAAAAAGAAACGAACAGATCATCAATTTGTTAATGAAATCTTGAGTCCGCTTGAATGTCATTGAAAGTCATCCCCCTAAAATATATTAGTAGCCACAGTGACGTGCATCATCAATTGGCCACTTGCCGCACCGTGACCACGTGTGGAATCGACTTCTGGGATATAAAATAGTACAAATCATAAGTTGTGAAATGCAATTGAGATTATATCATGGCTTTGCGATAGGGATCTTGCGTTGCAACACGTATCCGAATGAGCGTAATAGCCATTACAGCTATAATTATTGCTCAAATTCAGCTGGAAATGTTGATCGTCAATTTCCTATCTATTCCTATCTATTCCTGTCAATTACTATCGATTACTTTCAAGTCTCATCAAATCCAGAAGAAAAGAGTTCAAGTGTCTCAAAAAAAAAAAAGCGCTCAAGTGTAGTCACGGACTCGGAGAAAACCCCCCCGGAGACTCGAGCTGGCCTTTTCTGGACTTTCTGGATTGTCCGGGGTTCTCGACCTTTCTCTCACCTCTCACCTCTTCTTCTCTCCCACACTTTCCACGCTTTCTTCTCAGGTGGCTCCTCTCTTTGAGCCCCTGTATCCTTCTTTTTTTTGATACTCGGCGCTTTGCTAGTCCAAATCGCTATTGCATCTTCCTGCATTGCATCCGCACTCTCCTGAACGAAAAAGCTATATATCCCACTCAATTACAAAAGAGGAAGGATATTATATCACCTGTGAGTTATTTCAAAGTCTGGGCATCACCGTTGATTGTAGTCAAGATTTCCGGTGATCTATTGTGATTGCGTACTGACCTGGCCGTGATTGCAGGATCTTGTGCATAGTCCATCTTAACAACCTTGTCTCCTACCCTGATTGACCTTGTCAATCTCCATTTCTTATAATGGCTTCTGAAGCATCAACCTCTGCCAACGGCGGATCCCTCGCTGCCATGTTGGAACAGCAGCACGCCCGCGACGAGGCGCACAAGCCCACTGTGGAGGAAACCGTGGATGAGGAGGATCTCAAACACCCCCCTCCAACCTCGCTGCAGCTTGAACAGCCTTTCCTCGTTGACTCCAATCCTCCCGAGCCTACCATCATCGCCCAAACTGTTTCACCGGTATCTGCCCCCAAACCCGTCACTAAAAAGGCTCCGACATTCGATGTTCAATCCGAAGAACTATTCCCAGCGTTGGGCAGCGGCCCGAAGCCTGCTGCGCCCGCGGCCGCTACATGGGGTGCGAAGAAATCGTCCGCGGCCACTACTGTCGCAAATGGCTTGCCCGCGAAGTCAATGGGTATGTGGATCATTTTGTGGCTCCCCCTGAATCGAACAAGTTTTTTTTTTGACATTGGAACAGAGATCCCCCGTATCATGGCCCTCCCCGGAAAGCACATAGAGCAGCTCCGCCTAGCACCCTCCCAGATGCAACCCCGTGGACAGATGAAGAAGCCTCTGCGTGATATCCTCCGGGATATTTCCCGGAGATCAAAGGCCAATGTTGATATGCGCGGTGGCCCTGGTGGCTCAATCATTTTCGAAGGAAAGGGCTCCGTAGATGCGGTGCGTCAGGCTCTCCGCGAGGTGGCTCAGCAGGTTGGATCTAAGGTATGTGGATTGGACGTGCGAAAGATGAGTTTCTAGGCTCACCCTATTCATTTCAATAGCAATCCGTCCGTGTTCCCATTCCTACATCGGCACGCGCTCACATCATTGGCCGCCAAGGTACCGTTGTGCAGGATATCCAGACCCGCACCGGTGCCCGTGTTCAGGTCCCCCGTGCCGACGGTAACGCTGCTGGTGCCGACGATGATGACGATGATACTATCGATATTTTGATCGAGGGAGATGCCGTGGCCGCAGAGATGGCCCGGCGTGAGATTGAGGCGATTGTCAAGGAGCGCGGCTCAAATATGAGCTTCCGGTTGAAGACCGTCCCTCCTGAGTTCTTCCCTTTCATCGCAGGTGCACATGACGCCAACGTGCGGGCCATTGAAGAGCGCACAAAAGCGCAGATCAATGTACCGCGCTATGATACTTGGTCGAGCCAGGCCCCTCCCCAGGAGGCTAACCCCGGCCAGGTCCAATTCGTTCCTGTGCCTGATAAGCACATTTTGATTTCCGGTGAACGGGCTGCCGCACAGGAAGCTCGAGCTGAGATTGAGCGCTTGGCTGCTCAATTGCACCAGCAGCTTACTCTGCGCCAGTTAGCCATCAACCGTGGCCAGCATCAGTTCATCTTGGGTAATGAGGCCGACGCTCTGCACCGGTTCATTGCACAGACTGGATGCGCCATTGTCCTGCCCCCTGCCTCCGATGAGAGTGAGTTCCTCACCATCACTGGTCCCCTTGACCAGATCGAGGCTGGTATTGAACACGCTATGGATCTTGCGACAAGCATGCAGATGGCTAGCATTGATCTGTCCCGCCAGCACCCCAATGCTCCTGCCGGTTCTCATGCCCACGCAAGCGCTCTTTCGCAGTATCTTCGTCGCCGCCAGATCATCAAGGAACTCGAATCGACCTACGATGCACACATTGCGCTTCCTCCTAGCGTCGGTGGACCTGTCACTTGGGAGGTGTACTCTCGTGACGGCAAGAACACCATTCGTGCCCGTTCCGATATCATGAACCTAGTCCAGGCTCTTCCGCCTTCTAGACTCCGCCACGTCTCTGTCGACCCGTACTTCCACCAGTACCTGCGCGACCGAAGCGCAAGCACCCTCCAGGGTGACTACGGCGTCCACCTGATGGTGCCGGATGACATCAACTCCCCCGAAGTTGTTCTTGTTTATGAAGGCCCCTCCGCAACTGCCTCTCGCTTTGAGATCCCAAGACAGCGCCCCTCCTCCGCTGATATTGCAGCCTTCGAGAAGGGTCTGCAAGAGGCCCAGGAATTCCTTCTGGGTGCTCTCGGAGACCAGCTCGACATTGTTGCGAAGACGGTTTCCGTTCCCGCAAAATACCAGGAGAAGGTCCGTAAATTCATCGCCCGCGAGCAGGAGGCCAAGGGCGAGGACAGCATTCCTGTGCGTGCCATTATCGGTGATGCAAAGGGTTCTCAATGTGAGGTTTCTCTTCGTGGTCCCTCGGCCCGGGTGGCTGAACTAGTCACCAAGGTAGAGGCGTTCGTCGTGGAACAGGAGAAGGACGATCTGGAGCGTGGTTACACCATCAGCTTCGACTTCCCCCAGAAGTACGCAAACTTCCTGATTGGCAAGCGTGGTGAAAACATCAACAAGCTCCGCGAGGAGTTCGATGTTGATATCAAGGTGGAGAACGGGAAGGTCGAGGTCAAGGGACCCAAGGCCAAAGCGGATGCTACTCGCATGCGCATCATCAACATGGGCAAGAAGCTGGAAGATGAGACCACACACATCCTCAAGGTTCCCGCCCAATACCACCGCGAGTTGATCGGCCAGCGCGGAAACCAGGTCAACCGTCTCCAGGATCGTTACTCCGTCCGTGTCCAGTTCCCCCGCGCAACCGTTGCCAACGATGACTCCACGGAAACCGGCAGCGATGCAGGTGGTGTTCGTCCCCAGCGTGCTCAGCAGGCTCCCGATGAAGTATTGGTCAAGGGCCCTAGCAAGGGCGCTGACGCCGCTCGTGACGAGATCCTCAGCCTGTTGCAATACGTCATTGAGCACGGTCATTCTGCCGCCATTTCTGTCGCCCAGAGTCAGGTCGCATCCCTGATCGGCCAGCGCGGCCGTGAGATGGACAAGCTTCGCGCTGATACCGGTGCTCAGATTGATGTCCCTAACGCTAACGATGCGCCGGATGCGTCAGGCCGCGTGGAGATTCGTGTCAAGGGCACTAAGCAGCAAGTTGCCGAGGCCAAGAAGATCTTGCAGCAGCGGGCTAGCGAGTTCGATGCGACTGTGGTCAAGACCATTGAGGTTGAGAAGAAATACCACAAGGCTTTGA